CCTTTTAATTTCGCCTCCTTTCCCACGGCAGGATACGACGCTCTCGATCAAATCACAATTTCTCATCTCGCGAATCCTGTTTCTAATGACCATCAAACCGTCACCGACCGTCGCCAAACTGGTTGACAATCTTGGGATATCCGATATTCTGCACCAAGTAAAGCTTTCAAGAATGTGTTGGGCATATGTACAAATGCGAACGCAAATGTATATATAAAGCATATATGCACGCGAATTACATTTATTTATTCAGCTTTGTTTTTTTTTTTTTTACGTTCAAGTCTCTATGTGCACACATCAATACGTTATCCCCTCACGCACCCGTCACTGAAACATTGCCGATTACCGAGGTGGCGGTTTTGAATGAACAATTAAAATTTCTTTTTAACATGATGATAAATGATCCCAAAGTCGAACGCGACAAGAAGGGAAAGGAACCTGAGGGGCCGTCAAAATTTGAAAAGTAAATGAATGTTCTTGGTTGGCGGTAAACGACCGGGATTCATAAAAAAATTTTATGACGCCGCGTTATATATTTTCAGGCTTCTCCGACCGGTCATTGACATCATATTAAGGATACCGCTATCATCGCCGTTACCTCTAATACCACCGCACTCTCACGCGATTCATGCGCTCTTGAATTTTCCATTGGCACCATATAAAACAGTTTGGTTTCCTCCAGAAAAAAAAGGTCAACAGTATGAACTTCTTGATCAATTGCTGGAGATATTGAAGTCTATGATTTTTATTGCGGTGCAAGGTGATCCCGATTCCTCCATTGATAGAAATTCAAAATATGGCGTTGATTTCGATGAAGTTATCACCCCACTCGTCGCATTGCTAAAGAAGTTGGCAGATGAGGACGACTCGGCAAAGAACATAGAAAGAAATCGATTGTTGCCGGATGACGTGTGAGTGATTCCGGATTTCATGTGATAGGATCGATTTATTATCGATGTTAATGTAGATGCACAATTGAAATCAGGGATCGATCGAAACCACTGGAAAAAGGAGACAGCTTCTCCGCACGTCTGATTCGGCTTATGACATCGGTCATGTTGCCAAATTTGAGAGATAGCGTCGGCGAATTGTTGTACACATTATGCGATCAAGATGGTCAGTTGCATGGTTCTCTTGACTATAGCTCAATTATTTCACATGGCGACCGACTGACTTTTGCATTTACCCAGCCAACGTGTTTATCTACCACATCGGCTATGGAAACGGAGCGGGATTCTTGATGAGCCGTAACATAATGATCCCACCACCATCGGCAAAACAGTACGTCCACAACTCTGACAAGTCGATTAACCCCATCACCGGTCAGTACTTGGATGATGAGCCTCCATCGCTGGCGAGCATGACGGACGAGGAAAAAGAGCGAGAAGCAGAAAGATTATTCGTGTTATTTGAACGGCTCAAGAAAACTGGCGTCGTGGATGTGGTGAATCCAGTGGAAGAGGCAATGAGGTCTGGTAAATTGCAGGAGATAAAAGATGAAGGCAAAGATGATGAAAGTGAAAGTGATTAGAACTTTTTTATCCAAATCTTGGATCCGGTTATAATGGCAAAACTTTGATTGAATGCAAACAGGTGAGCGTTTAAGTAGAGGTCAATTGAACTCTTGAACTTGATTAGATAGATTTATTTATTTACCTATTATTCATTCATTTATTCATTTATTCATTTATTTATTTATTACTTTCATCATCTTGTGCTTTTCAATTTTAAATTAAATTTCTCAATATTTATTAACCCAATTAAAAAATAATAATAACAATTTTACATTAAACATATAATGTTACTTTATAATATGAAAATTTTTCATGCCAATTGGATGACTGGTTATAGAAAAAAATAATAATTATAAAGTAAAATTCTTAGAGTTTGGTATAGGATGAAAGAATCCTTAATTCAATTTGCTTGTTCCAGATCCACACATCACAGTATCCGCAACAATGTAGAATTGGATCGCCGGTTCTTGAGAAAATCGGTTTAAATGATAAATTTATATTGATACCATTTTTTTTTCCTTAGGAATTAGTAGTCCAATTTACAGTATCTCAAATTTTAATATGCCTTATGGCATTCCGCAATATGAAACCATGTCACTCAAATTGGATTTTTTAAATCTTGGGAAAATCAATCGACAACAACAATAAAAAAATTTTAATGTCATATTTATCCTGATTTCTCATTAACCGGCGATTATATTTGACCGAGATTTTCACGGATGATGTATCTTATCATCAATGAAAATCACATTTAAATGCGATCCTAAAACTAATAAGGCTTGTCCAGTGCTAAAATTTATCCTTAAGAATTTTTTTGTGCAATTGTATTATAAAAAGTATGTTGAGATTGAGCCAATAAATATTGAGAAGTTTAATTTAAAAAAATGTCACAATATTTGGCAGGTCTCTATATAATTAATCCCCGGACCATTTAAACTTTACCCATCCACAGATAGCACTTGGCGTGTGCATTGTTAACACGTGCAGGCCTTTTGGCGGACGCCCGATTTCTTCTTATTGATCTTTGCGCGCGAAACACGTTCAACCAATCAAAGATCATTTTTATTTGTTAATTCTTCGATCGTTCCTCATAAATTTGAATACATCTTCAATAAACATAATTTTTTTTTTCTTTTTCCCACCATCGAGAACAATGATCACTATTGCAATCCCGTTGCCCGAGTTATGTTGATATAATCTAATTCGATTACCCTGAAATATTGTAAAATGACATTATCTAATTTGATGGATGTGATGTCCGAAATGTTCAAGTGCATTATTAATAAATAGGGACAGAAATTTCTGCCCGCAAGGAGAAGAATACGGTGTTTAAAAAAAAAAAAAAACTGTAATCGAAGTGAGAAAGGGTGAAATTATTTTTGGCGAATAAAATATTTACATCCACGTGATTAATTCAATTTCGAGATCTCCTGTTCAACATGAGCATCGTTTTCGTCGTCATTGAACCTGTAGGAAGACGGGAAAGCAAAGTTACTTATGTCATCATTCATAGATCCAGACCTTTGAGACGACAATTACCTCTGCGTGGATTGTTCGTTACTACTGGAGCTGCCTCCTCTGCTTGCTCTCGCTGTGGATTCTTCGTCATCCCATTTGGTGAGTTCGTCGGCATCCTCATGATCTCCGATGTCAAATATAGCGGATTCGCTGTCATCGTGCAAACGCTCGGTTTCACCGTTGTCCTGTTGTCCGCGATATTTTATCTGATCGTAGCCCAGGTTCTCTGAAGCGCGAAGAACGTTAATCTCCAGATCCATATCGTCATCCTGTGTCAATTCGTCGCTCATCGCAAACGTGAGAAGGAAAAAAGGGGGGACAACAAGGTTAAGGGTAAATACCGGAAAACTTTCAACTTTGTCCCAAAGACTTTTTGAAAGAAAGAAAAGGATATCTCTTGTTGTTACGAGTCGGCCGCCAAATCACGAGAATCACCGAGAATACAATTAAGTATAAGATGTTCAACCATCCGTCCAACAAGAACCACCGCCATTTCCAAAAAGTTGGTATCCAATCGACGTCGTCGCGATGAGCGTAGTTGTACATATTGATGAAAAAGAAAATACCTAGAACGGACACCGAAAAAACCATCAGCCGATACAGCCTCTTATACATCAAGGATTTAACATTTTGACGGCGAATCTCAAGGGTTTGCAGGGTGGCGGTGATCGATTGAAGAGTCCACACGTAAAATGCCGTCATCGTGAAGGCCAGAGGAAAGATGATCAAGAATATAAGGGGACTGGCAGTGTCAGGATCAATTAGCATCGTCCCCGCCGCGTAAATGACACCAAAGATGAAATGCGCCGTGGCTAAGGCACGGCACTTATTCATGGTATTGCCGAGGGTAGGCCTGAGTTAATTGAATCGTTGTTAGTCTCGTCAAACCGTCATTCCTTCCCCTCCCCTTGCCGATCACGCAAAAAAAGAGTGCTCACTTGACCACGCCGTAACCCATGCAAACAATTAATAGCATGAAGAAAGAGATCGAATTTCTTCCGGCATTCAAGACCGCGACCAACCCGAGTAAAAATTTTGCTAAATAAAAAGGGTAACACGGTATTCTTACAACAATCCTACTAATGCCAAACGAAACCGGGATTCAGGTGGAAATAGAAGACATGACATACATGAGTAACCGTAAGTATTATAATTTTCCCAGTATCCCCAGTTGAAGGCCATTTCCAACATCAGAAATAGAATTACCGCCGAGATGTAATTCTAGGAGATCATTCGTTAATTCATGAATGTCGAATTTTTAAGAAAATTCTATTCGACCAGGATGGGTAGGAAAGTACCTGCACTTGTAAGATGTCACGCCAGTGCAAAATGCTTAGTGACATCCACCAAACTCCGATAACCAAGTAGGTCAATGACAAAAGTCCGTAAAACTAATGTCGATTGGACGAACATTAGTTCAATATTTATGTAATAACCGGAGGACTGAGATACGATTTAAGTCATTTCGGCTTACTGGTAACTTGGGATAATCTGCGGCCGGCAGTTCGCCATATGGATTACGCCAATCGACAGTCACAAGGAAAGTTTCGTCGAAAATATTGACCGGCACCGAGAGAGCAGCGACACAATAGTAGCCAGTCTTATTGACATCATATGAGATACTCTGATCTTTGTTGGAGGTTTGAAATGTCGTGGTGAAAATGCTTGTATGATTCTTTAACACGATAAACTGTCCGCGCTGAGATTCGGGACATAATTTTCTTGATATATTTTCATCGGTGCAGATGTACTCTTTCTATTTATCCGAAAGAGTTTTTTTGAAAGAAGAAAATGAATAAAGAGATGAATGAATGAATGAGATCCAAAAATTATAAAAATCGAACAAATAATTACTTCTCCATTATAATCAGCCCCGAAATTGCTGTCGTCGGCCCATTCGTACACAATAACGGCCGTATTTGAGTGCGAATTCTTCGAGTATAGGACTAGAAAGAACAGTTACTAAGCTTTCATGGAATGTGGGAAACTGCTGCAAAAGTGTCGGCCGCTTTTCTCTCTAATATAATTTACCGGTAATTTTTGGATCAGAACCTCCAGGAATTGCCGATTTCGCAAACATTCCCGAACATCGTCGGTTAATATCGTTCGACTATTTGATCGATAGGTGGGTGAATGTCATGAGTTTCACAAGCATTTAAATAATTTTTTTTTTCTTTTGTGGGAGAGAGGTTTTGCGTTCAAAGGCTTACCAGAAATTCGCTGTTTGCATTGATACTGGATATCCATGATATTATAAGTAGAATATTTGCAAGCAACGACCACAATGATAACCGGACCATCGATGAATTGTTGTTTTGAATCGTTGACGGTTTCTCTTCTCTTTCCTTCTTTTTTTTTTTTTTTTTTTTTTTTTTTTTTATCCAGTGGTTGCTTGACTTTCTTATTTTTATTTTTTGAAAAGCTCGATGCTCTCAATAAGTGAGACGATGCGCAAATGAAAAATTCAATGTATGATATATTTATAACGTTTCACGAAAGGTCAAATCTTACACAGCCAATGTGCGCACCTACATACTCGGAATTTTGAGGTCCTACCACATGGTGTTCCGATACATATGCCGAGGGGGTCATACAGATTGGTGGTGACAAAAAATTTTATATCACAAAGATTTTACGATCGATTATTGGTATTAGGACTACACCTGTATCTTGACAAAAATGTTATTTAAAGAAGAAGAAAATTTATTTATTTATTATTATTATTATTATTTTATTTCATTTTTTTTTTAAAATGGTTTGACAAAGCATGTTGGCTGCTAAAATCGGGCGAACGCTTGGACCATCAGACAATTACATCTAATGATCGTTTAAGATGACGACGCACCAATTCATAAGACAAAGTCGTGGAATAATGAAAAGACGGTAGACTCCAATGTCAAAAACGTGTCAATGAGGTGATGAAAAGATGGGTACAGAACAGCCCGTTGGTAAATCCATTAAAGTTTACGAAAATCGTTTGCATCCCATACCAACATAATTATTCCACACGTAGAATCTTTTGATTGGATATTATACATGCCACTGTCGATAAATGTGATGCCAATATAGTGTTTCTCATTCACGAGTTCCACGAAGTGGAAAATTCAAAATTTTCATTAATGTAAAAACATCTCCTAACGATTACCCAATCAATCAAATCAAATCACATTGCCTTGAATTTTTTCCGGCGAACCACGAGCACATCCACGGATAAAACCACCAGAGCGACCACCATGACCACCATGATCGGGATTTGCGTATTCTTTATGCCTCTTTTCTTGACCCTAAACCTTTTACGTCCCGACCTGCGAATATTAATTTGGTGACATTCCTTTTGGCGTGCGATGAATTGTCTCAGTCTTTCCCTTAGCTCGGCGATATCGGAATCGAGAAATATTTCGGTGATAAGGATGGTCGTAGAGATAATTTCTATGATGGAATAGAAGAGGCATTGATTTTTTCTGGAAAGAAACACGTGTCAAACAACTCTCACGCGCGAATACGTGCGAATTCACCCCCCCCCCCCCCCCCCCCCCCCCCCAGAAAGAGGGGGAGGACCGTTTTTTTGGTTTTTGGGTTGCACAGGGGGGGGCATGGTATGATAAGTCACCGTCGAAAG